TCTTCTCCCAGGCACCACGGGCACTTTGCACCTCTGCTTCAGAAAGTGACATGGTGGAGGAGATCTTGGCAACAGAGGGTGCAGCAGGAGGGAGAAGGACAGGGAGGTCCTGGCAGGGTCTTTCTGCTCCAGTTCTCTCCTCAGGGCTCTCTAAATACTGCCCTGGGGATTTAAGAGATCTTGAAGGGTCTCTTTGTCTCTGTTACCCTCAGTAACATTTCTGCAGGTTTTAGAGCTACCTAATCGCTTTTAATCAGGAAAGAAACCAACCACATGAGGAGAAGGACTAGCTCTGTACTCATAGGTCAGGGGCCAAAGCAAAGGTCTCACTGTCTGAGGAGAGAAAGGAGAAAAGGCAGTTTTCAGTGGAGAAAAAAAAGATCAATTCTCTTCCCCTCTCATCCCTGCCAAAGCCAGTGCTTGGCTTCTTTTCCTGAAGGTGATCTTTGCCTGAGCACTAATTTTCCTGGTTTTCTCCCAAGAGTTCTGCTGTGCTGAGGGCACTGTGGTGCCCTGCCCTCCCTTCTCCCCGGCACTCTTTGGTCTTTCAGTCAAAGATCCTGTTTCTAGCTCCAGCAATCCTCTCCAGTCCTATCTTCGTGCCAGTCTCTGCTTTCCCCACAGCTCTGGTTTGACAGGGGCTCACCCCACAGCTGCTCCCAGCCTTGGTCCCATGAGGGTAGGATGCTCTGCCAGCCCAAACTGACAGCATTGCAGGGATGGTGATTGGCAGCGTGGCACAGCATCCTTGGCCATAGTGCCCTGCAAAGCCACTTCATTTTAGCACTGGAGGTAAAGGGTGCAGCACAGCCAGGCCAGGAGTGCAGGCATTTCACTTTCCTAACCCTCTTGGCTTGCAGCCGGGATCTCTGTCCTATCTCTGAGCTCTGACTGCCTGGGAGAGAGATAAGGGGTGGAAGAAGGGCCAGGGTGGAGCTGCAGACAGCATCTCTGGATTTGTTATAGTCACGGTCACTTGGAACTGGAGGCAAAACGTTTTCATGGATTATCCGTGCAATGCCTGGGCTTAACCTCTGGCAGGAATGTTCTTGTTTAAGTCCAGGGCACGCACGCAAAATAAGGGTTAAGTGGCTTGAGAAACTGCCACGGGATGCTGAGGGCAGAAAAAACTTCATATTTGCTTGGGATGGTTTAGAAGAGAGAAGGAACAGGTGTGAGGGGAAAATACACAGCATGTCAAGAAAAACCAGCCTGATACCCCAGAGCAGAAGGAAAAGTACTGGCTGCAAACTCACAGAGACTGACTGGTCTTGGTGGGGTTGTGTCCCACTGCTGCTGAGGGAGGCCCCAGATAACTTCACTGAAATCTGTCCCCTCTTGCCTCCCTCTTCCGTTTTACCACACAGCAAAGAGCAGTCTGATAGAAAGCTGCAAAGCAGTTGTGGGTTCCTCATCCCTGAAAGAGTTCAAGGCCAGGCTAAATGGGGCTTTGAGCTACTAGGTCTAGTGGAAGGTGTCCCTGCCCATGGCAGAGGGGTTGAAACTAGATGATCATTCAAGTCCCTTCCAATCCAAAATGTTCTATTATTCCCTAGGAGACTTCTTCTCTGCTCTCCCTCATTCTCCTCTGGGACACTGCAGGATAAATATGCTCCATCCCTTCATGCATAGTCAGACATCCTGTCATGGGCCAAAAAATACCTATTTTGAGTAGAGAAATTTCAATCCAATTACTTTATTGCCAAGTAACAAACCAGCCAACCAACACTTAGATACCTCACTGCTCCTTGTCCTGTTTCCCCACCCTATGCTGCAGGTTATAGCCAGATCTTTTGGTGAGACCATGGGTGGTGGTGCAGGAGCTGCGGTTGGTGTGTGAGAGTCCCTTCCTTTTTGTGTACTACTCAACTGCTCCAGCATGGGCTCTTCCACTGGTTATCATCCTGTTGGATGCTGTACCTGCCCTGAACTTGTCTCTTCCTTTTCAGTGTTCCCTGCCCTTTCTTAAACATGTTTCCATGAAGGCACACTAATCTTACTTGGTTGGCCCAGTTCTGGGGTGCAGTGTGACAATTTTGTCTGCAACCAAGCCAGGTGTCAACAGCACAGAGCACTCCCTGACCAGACAAAACAATGACATCTTCCCTGAAGCATGTCACCATGCCCTCTCTCTGACATGCTTTTCTATTCTTCCATCCTCTGGTGCTACTTTTACTGTTTTGGAAAATTATCTTCTATTTTCCCCCTGCATGATTTGCCAAGTCCTTGTAAAATGAAGTTTTACTCATAAAGTTTTGACATCTCTAACAGGGCTATATACGTTTATGCTACATCTCGGCAATCTCTAGCAATTGAAACAACAAAGCTCCAGAAACACGTTTATTTTGGCCTGGAAATGGAAAAGCTATAAAAATGTGCTGTTTAATCATGAAGTCATTGCTGACACCTCCCCACATGTGGGCAAGAGGATGAGTGCTTGGTTTATTTCTTTTTCCTCTCCCTTGGTTTGCTTTGTTTATTATGCCAAAGGAAGTGAATCCTCTCTAGCATAATTTCTATTGCATGAAGAGACGTATTTTCTAACAGGGGTGAAGCTCCTCTGAATGTTACCTTAAAGAAAGGAATCCTTGTGTGTAAGAGCAAATCAACACATTGAGTCAAGATATGATTTTATTACAAATCTGAAGAATAGGGTGCCAAGCAAGGCCTTTTCCAACCTTCTGGAAAACAAGCAGAGTCTTTTTTACAAAAAGGTAACCAAAAAAGAATCATACAGAAACAGGATACTGGTCACTCATGCTTGTGTAACAAAATTTTTAATGTGCATGTGCTGATCTCAGTCCGGTTCATTATCCTGTCATTTCCACATACAAATTCCCTTGGGGATGTGTTCTTTAACATTATAATTATCTAAGGTAACTTGAGGTTGTCTTTATATCTTATCACCTGTTGCTAAGTTATTGTTTAATCTAATCTTATGTTGTTAAACCTCTGTTGCAGTTTCTGCTTGAATCTATTTGAACCATTACTTGTCAAAGACAAGAATTTGTAGCATTCTGTTCTGTTCTGTTCTTCATGGTTCCATTGCTCCAGCACCCCACTGTCATGGTTTCAAGGCTAACTTATAGTTACTGTGAATTTTTTGTGAATCTTAAATTTCCTCTCACATCAAGCAAGCAGGGTGAGCCACATGACACTGGGAAATCTAGAGCAGAAAGCACAGCCGTGGTGTTTGGGCTGTGGCAAAGCTATTCCTTTCTCTATCCCCAGCCAGGCGAGAAGAGGATGTGCCTCCAACTTAGCTGCCAGGAAATGGTGTCAGCACTGCAGAGTGGAGGTTGCTTTCTCTCAGTTTCCGAGAAATCACATGCTTTAGGCAGAAGGCAGCTGGAAAGATCCAGCCACAGAAATGGGTAGCACCTTCTACTCACCCAGCCATTTAGGATCCACCAGCCATCACATCTCTAGAGCTCATTGATGTCCTGGTTACAGGCACTGCAAACCTCAGTGTTTTTCCTTATCCTTGAGATCTGTGATTCTGTGATTTTTAGCATAAACACCCTATTTGTTGTTCAGTGGGGTTAATCCCCACTTCAGCAGACACAGCTGTCTCAGAGGATGGCTGCAAGGGGCTCAGCAGGTGTAACTCTTATTTTCCCAACACCTGTGGTAGTGTCAGGCTGAGGGTAGAGCCCCCCATATTGCCAGGTTTCAGGGATGCTTAGCCCAGGACCCTGACACTCAGTGCTGCTTTCACAGAAAGGACACACACCTGCATCTGCTCATGCTCAGTGTCTGAGGTTATCAACATAATCAGTTCATCAAAACAAGCAAAACCAGGAGCTGCAGTCACCACTGTCAGTGTCACTGTCTGAATCCCAAAGCCCACCTAGCACATGGGTGGGAAAGGCTTTCCCCGCTGCCACTTTCCCAGACTGTACTTCTCTTCCCATTCCAGGGCCTTGGTGAGCTCTGGTGGAGCCGTGTTGGGCTTTCCACTGGTGAAAATACCAAATGTAGAGGATAAGAAAAAAGCAGGATTACTCAGCTTCTTGGGACCTAGCCCCCAGAATAGCCCTTATGAAGAGTACAGAGTGGTACCACCCAACATAGTAGAAATGCACACAGGTGTCTGTTGTGAATATTTTTATTGCATGCTTAACATTTTAAATGTGAAAGCAAAGATAGAAATTTCAAAATCATTCCACTTTTGTATATCATAGGGCATAGCATATATGCAGGTTAGTCCTCTGAATGCTGCTCTCATGATTAACAACATTCAGTATATGGCCAGCAGTGACTCTAATGTGATCATTCAACTAATAAGGATGACAGTGCTGAGTTTTCTTGCACTTGATCCAGCTAACCAAGAATTTGCATTGGTGGAGGCTGGTGTTCAGCAGAGAAACTTTATATCCTTAGTAAAGTGGAAGAAAGCCAACTCCACAAACCCCACCCCACCCTGAACCATCAGCGTGGACCCAAACCACCCACCAACATAAGGGTTTCAATGAAGAAAGTTAACTCCACCTCAGCCAGACCCAGCACACTGCAGGACTGCAGCCTTTTCGTGGACAAATTTAAGCTCATGAAGCCTTCACAGTGCTCAACTTTTACACAGGTGCTGCAGGCAGGAGTAAAGAAATCAGCTTTTAGAGATATAGAAAATATCATGCCCAAATCAGAGATGCAAAGTATCCAGAGCTGGACAGAGGCATCAGGCAGCAGCGTATACACCATTCATGTCTAACGCTACAATCTGACATTCATATCTGCCCAATTAATGAGACTGAACCACCCAATCATTTAATGGAAACAGCATTCCCACAGGTTTGGACACAAGCCCCTAGACTTCACTCAACTCCCTTGTCTGGGACACTGGAGCTTTAATTACATAGAGTTTACAGAAATTACATTCTGAAGAAAATAAAAATCCACTGAATGTCACCCCTAGCAGAATTAAACCTGGACTTCAGATAAAGTGACCTGATGTCAGAGAAAGAGAAGATGTAGCTGCAAGAAGACATCAGGCTAAAATAAACAGCTATGGGCTGCTTTATGTGTAAGTTAGAGACCAGTCCAGGGGCTTTCCAGCTGTGACAGGTAGATCACAGATGATTGTATTGGTGGTATGGACTACTGTGTTCAAAGATGCAAGCTAAAAGGGCATGAGATAAAGCGGGAGAAAAACCTGCTGTCAGATACAAGAGAAAATGAGGTGTTGGACTGAAAGGGTGGTTGGTGAAGAATGGAAGGAACCAGAGAATCAGACAAGTAGTTTTCCTGTGTAAACAGAAATTTGAATGATGGACTTATTGGTCCAATTGTCTCCTCTACTGCAGAAGTCATAGAACTATTAGAACTATAATGGTTGGAAAAGACATCTAAGATGTGTTCAATATGATGAGTAATTATAAGATAAGAAATCCATTATAACTGTTCGACTTTCTTGGGAAGTAACATCAGTACACGTGGCTTTAAATTCAGTGAGCCCAAATCTAATCTCTACCTTCAGCCTGCGATTTTTCCCCAGCGATGTGTCTGGTGACGGCACTACACAGGAACCAAGCTGTTCCATCCCTTCCTCATCCACATACTGAGCATTCTGTTTTGTTGTACAATAGAAAGCAAAGATTACCTTTGTTTGATCTGGTTCTATTGGAAAGAAATCATAGTGGGCAGCTTCATGTATGTTCACTGACTCCCCAATTTCCACCAGTTTCTCAAAGAGATCTGTGCAATAAATAAAGTCACCAGTTTTTGAGACCCTCCGTTTACGGGCATCATGGATAGCACTATCAAATTTCTCACATACACACAAGCCATATGTCCTACAGCTGATTCTTGAGGTAATGATGTGTGGATTAACTCCAAATAAAACAGCCCCTTTTACAATGGCTGCCTGGGCCTCCATGGGACAAAGGATATGATACTTGTTGCTAAAGGCCTGCCTGACTGCATCTCTCAGGATGATGCTGGATGCAAAGCCTCCCACAAGTAAAATGTACTGGACTTTGTCCATCTCGGGTTTGCAAAGAATTTCCCTCAAAGCACAAATGATATTGTTGATACTGTAGTCAAAGAAGCTCTTCATTTTCTCATATGTAATCATGATTGTCCCATCACACCACACAGTTCCTGCTACGTTTTCAAAGAACTGGGAGATGTCCTTCTTGGACCCTGCCACTCTGGTCAGGTTGTAGTAGCAATGTATGTAGACTGCCTCCCTGCTAGCAGAGCATTTCTGTAGGCTGAAGTTGTACATCATATTTTGTAATTCAGTAGGGTGCCTCTTTGCATATTCATCCCATATGCCATCACTGAATATTTCCTTGAGGAAATTGATAAAGTTTTCATCCACTCTGTTGCCTCCCCATCCACCTCCAGTTGCCTTATGTAGCTCCTTTAGGTAATGGTTTTGTTGGATCTCGTGTACTGTGATGTCTACAGTGCCACCTACACATGCAAACACACACACAGAAATAGAGACTGAAATTAATTGTGCTGTTTGCTTCAAAGTGCATGAGCTTCCACAGAATTTAATCTTATCTGCTGAATCCTGACTGACATATGTGCTTTTCTGCCACTTTCTTTCCTTATCCTCACTCTTCTGCTATTGCCTGTACTTCCCTAGATTTCTTAAATTTATGCACTTTTGTTGAAAAGTCTGGTCTCACAAGTTTCCTACAGTTATTTCTGTATAATAACTGAGCTGGATGCTCCGGCTTGCTCAATGAACAAGCCAATCTCCTGTCTGATCACAAACCAAGCCTGGGCTCCTCACATAGGTGATTGAATCCTGAGCAGTAGTGAGAAGACTCTCAGGAACTTGCGGTCCTCTTGATGCCTTTTCAGTATTTGTTCACAACCACCAGACTGCTCTTGGCAGAAAATTCACATCACACCAAAAAACCTAAGGAATCTAGAGATATTACGGAGAAGTGCTTCATCAAATATTCTTAATGATTTTCTCTCCAGTGCCTGCTAGCTCTTCTCTTTGGTCACTTCGCTGGGCACTAACTACAATTGCTTCTGGAGAGGAGGCTACGAGCTGAGGCTACACAAAAGCACGTGGTGCATGCCGGTGGCTGATGCTGGAACACTGTGCCAGCTGATCTGGTGCAAAGGCATGAGACAGAGTAAAAATTTAACAGGATAAAAATCCATTTGGATTTAGGTAAAATGTGCCACTTTAAGCTTGCAAAATATGCTGTTCAGTCTGGTGACTGCAGCCCTAGCAGAACTACCCCTACTAAGGAGAAAGAATGCAAATTTCCACACTAAAATATAAGAGATAAGAAAGACTCCTTAGACTTTAAAACAGACAGGGCAGAGTGACCCAAGAGTCCTTTCTGTACTTTCTAACAAAAACTGAGTATAAGTGTAACTAGCTGGAAGTGTAATGTAAAATCAGCAGAATGAATATGCATTAACCTATTGTGAAATTCTATACATATAGAAATTAGTAAGAGTAATAAAAAAGGATCAAGCGTTCTCAGAGGTACACATGTACATTAAAGGGCAATGAGTCCTGACATGCGTTCACAGCGCTGTGAATAAACATACCCATTCCCTACAAATCTTTATTAAAACTGTGAGGTTTAATTTTTATCCGTGTTTCAGGCAGGGCCTCGTGTTGTGACTGTCTGGCCTGAAGAGTACTGCAGTGTGAGACACAATCCTTTTCTTTCCTCCTATTTTTCTTCCTGCTCACAGCATCTCATTAGGTGAGAAATAACACTAAAAATAAACATGACAAGCACAGCAGTGGAGTCCAAGCTCTGGGATCTTTGGCCATACTGTAAAATAACCATGCACCACACCCAACAAAGATGGTACCTGTTAAACAGGGAAAATTTTACCTCCACAGTCAACGACAATATACTGGATCCCAGGGGAGTCTTCAAACTTCTTCTTGTCACTGCTGTCTGCCATAAACCCTTCATGTGGAAGCTGCTTGCACCACAATGATGCAGCTTCTGGCTCCAAGGCAATGATCAGGTTCCTAGAGAGCATGTCAGAGATAATTCCTGCCTAAAATGACAAAAGAGAGGAGTCAGGTCAAGGAAAGGGGTGAGATAACTGCTGCATGAACATCACCTGCTAAAGAGACTGTTCTCACCCCAGCAGATCATGCAGGGGTGATGGTTCTCGCACCACTGGTCTCTGTGGGGCTCATTTCTACCTGGTGGGGAGAAAGGGCAGAGCCATTGTACTGCCATTTGGGGACATACTCTCCCTTACCACCCTCAGTGTAGAAGATTTCTCTGCCCAACGACTGAAATTTGAAATAATCGTTGTTTAGATATTGAGGCATTCCTGTGGCTCAATTGGACAAAGAAACCTTCAAAGGTAATTTGAGGAAATGGGGTAACCCCTGCTTTTACCTCTTTTGCTGCCAGACGCATGAACTGCTTGGCAGCAGCGTTCCATATGGCTGGGACAGTAATGACCCAGGTGATCTCCTCCTCACTGTAGACGGTTTGGAAAGAGGCCTCCTTAATGGTGTTCAAAGCATGATCCTTCATGTAGCGCAGGCTTTCAGAAAAGACTGTCAAGGCAGGAAGGAACTTTCCATTGGTGGCTTTCAGCTTCATGCCAAGTGTGACATTCTACTGAAAAAAAGGCCCAGGGTCACATGGTGCAGTGTCAGTATGAGACCTGTCCCCTTCACACCGAGCACTGCACCACATAAGGCACCCAGACACCCCTGTCTCCAAACCAAACTCCCAGCACTGGCTTCACTGCTGTGGCTGAGTCTAAGTGCCACAGGTCAGCTACCAAACTGCTTACCCACCACACCTGTGATTCAGTATGCAAAATGTCGATGGGCTTGATAATTCAGCTGTTTCTCCTAGGCAAATTTTGTAAAGACCCTGTAGATTCTATAGATTCCTGAAGAGCCAGTAGGGAGTGGTTCTGTAATGAAATTTTTCTTCATCAGTTGCTCCTGAGCAACTGGTAAAGAAAAACTATTTCCAGAGAAATAGTTCTGAACTAAAAGCTCTCTCCAGCCCCTGCTGAAAGTGAATGAGAACCAACCACTCCAGAGGTGACACTGTGACAGACCACATCATTCCCAGCTGTCCTGGGGAGGAAAATCTTCAAAGAGGCCTCCCATCCACCAAAGAAAGGACCTGAGATTTTTCCTGGGACTGGCCTTGTGTTCTGCCTTATTCTGTGCTTGAGAGTCCCGTGGGACCCTGGAGCAGACAGGACGGCCCTAAGGTAGCCTGGTGTTTGGCTGAATAAGCAAACAAGATAAAGCTGTGAACTATTCCAAACCAGCACAGAGCCTTCAGAGAGAAATTTGATAAACACACTGCAGGCTTCAAGGACAGCTGGACACCCTTACATTCACTTCAGCATAACATTTCAAGAGAGGGAGAGACAAGGGGGAGCTGTATAACATGGGATGAGATCTTAGGTAATCCCGAGACTGCCCATATCCTTTGATTTATAGGAAATTTCACTTGATCCCTGTTTCTTTTTGAGGACTAAGGTAGGGAGTCAGAGAGGGAGACCAGTTTCTCTGTCAACCTTGGGAACAGGACAGCTTTGTGTTAGAAATAGGTACTTGCCTTCACCCATGTATGCAGTCATGTTTTATTGTCTTTAGACAAAAAACATCATAAAGGTAGCTTTTGGCAATTAAAAAAAAAATTCTCCTTTTGTTCATCAAAATACTTGTGTTTATTCATTCTCATCAACCAGACTTAGCCCTCTTCATGGATTCTCTAACCCCCACCCCTCAAATAAATTATTAGCCCTGACCCCCATTAGTAGTAACTCTTCCACCTACCGTGTTGTACAGCTGCATCTTGAAGTTCTGGAAGAAGTACCAACTGTCAGCTTGGCTGGAGGGCAGACTCTTGTACTTCATCACAGCATCATAACCAAAATATTTGAACTCCTGCTTCTGGTTGAACAAGATGCTCGTAGGCATCTTTGGGGTCTTTAACCCATGCTCTGCTCCCCAGTAAACCTGGCGGATTTGGTCTGTACCTGAAGCAAGAGAAAAACAGTACCCGCTGTAGGATGTGCCAAAATCTATAGCAACGACAAAGACTGACTGGCTGGCCATGGCCACTGCCGTGCAGAGGTGTGCCGCTCTGGGAGCAGAGAGGAGCAAACAAATGGGTCTGAACTGAAACTGAAAGGACTGATACTGCAGAGAGAAGGTCACTCTCCCCTGATTTTATTGGCTGGAGAGAGATGTAACTCTAGACATCCTGTAAATTGTGCCTTTTCCTGTAAAGAAACAGAGCTTTCTTCTGCTTTTTCTAGTAGCAAAGTGCCTTTGTTAGGGAACAGTCTTATCAGTAGCTTTCTGCACTCCCAGCAGCATCAACAGTCCTCAGGGCTCCACATACATTTCAACAAACATTTTCTGCTGCTGCATGAATACACGGAAACCTTCTGGCTCCAGCAAAAGGAAAATGTGGGTTGTGACCAACTTTTTTGCCCACAAAAAACCAGAAATGTCGGATATGCCTGATACTTCTGCCTCCAGCAAAGAAGAAGAGTGGGTTATACCCAATGGTTCTGGCTCTAGCAGAGAAGTGTGGTGTCCATCCAACATTTCTGGCTCCAGAGGAAGAGAATCATGGCATACACGCGATGTTTCTGGCAACAGAAGAAGAAAGGCACTGGAAAGACAGTGTGAGGACACTGATCTCAGAAAGACAACTGCAGAAGGCAGCAGGTAGGTTACACAAGGGTGTCTCTAGATAATCTTATTTAATCTTCCTAGGTCTGAATATTTCTACAAAGTTTCTTGGAGGGTTGCATGAGTGCTGAATTGCAAACATTTTCTGACTGTGAAATATTCAGTAAGAGCTCTGTTTCCTACTTCCTAACTTTTTTAGCCATCACAGAGATGGTTACTGTCCCCAAATTCAGCTCAACTCCAAAGTGGGAGGCAGATCTTAAATTGGTGCAAGAGAAAGAGAAACTAGAAAGATCAGTATAAAGAGTGTGACAAGATCTGGGATTTCATGGCTCTGACTCTGAGCTCATCAATTTTGCAGGGATGCGTGGGCTAAAATATAAAATTTTTACTGTATTGTTTAGCTTAAAGAAAAAGATTGTGTCTTCAGTGAAAGACTGAAAGTGAAGTGATTTAACTGGAAAGGAATCAACCCAAGTAAACAAAAGCAAAATGTGCTTCAGTGGGCAGGAGTAATACTGAGAGGGGCAGCAGTGTCCCGTGCAGCAGCTGTGCAGCCTTCTGTTGGTATAAATGAAAGGTAAGGCCTCATGCTGAGGCTTGCTCTGACATCTGGTTGTGGGGATGAGCTTGCTCTCTGTTCCACCTGGATCCAAGCTGCAGGAGCACCTTAATCTGAGACTGTTTCTCTAATAATAGTTGATATTTGGGATCCTTGTGAGGAAACAGGACACAGAGTAGTTGTACAAATAAATTAGCTTGAGAACACAGATCTTTGCAGTCCTCTGTTAAAAAAACCTGTACATTGCAAAGTTGGTTTTAGCAGAACGGTCACCTGCATTTGCTGTTCTCCCACTCTCTGCAGGTCTGGGCTGAGTTTGTTTTTCAGGAGCTGTCCTTGTAGCTTGCCCACTTTATCCAGACCTAATGATTAGTCAAACCCTCCTGGTTTCAGCATACCCTGGTATGGGAAATAGTAAAAGTAAGAATATTTCTAGAAAGCTTTAAAAGCAGGCCTTAGAAACAGGAAGAACAGAAAACTTAGACCTAGCTGCAGCTGCAAAGTCTTAAAGTAGAAAAAGTTACAATAGTACAGCAAGCAAGGACATGAAAAAATAGCTTGAGTTTTAGGCTTGGCAAAGATAGCCTGTGGAGTCCTCTGAGCTCTATCAGGCACTATCTGGGAGAGTGCTAACTCACTTGTGCCAAATCTGCACCCGTGTGCCCTTTGTCCTGTCTCTGATCCGTTTGCTGGCATGGATGTAGCCATGAAGCCTCTGTTCACAGGACTGGCAATGATAAAGTACTTTTTTCGAGGATGTGTGCTTACCCTGCTTCATTACAGGAATTCCCTTTTCTTCTTTTCCTCAGACATACATCTGACACCTCACAGCAGCCACCAGCCTGTGGAGACCAGACTTCTAACATGAAGGAAATGTTAGAAATGATGAAAGAGATGGACAACAAAAAAACGAAGGAAATGTTTGAAATGATAAAAGAGATCGACAATAAAAAGATGAAGCAAGTGTTCGAAATGATAAAAGAGATGGACAATAAAAAAACACAGGAAATGTTCACAATGGTAAAAGAGATGGACAACAAAAAAACAAAGGAAATGTTTGAAATAATGAAAGAGATGGACAGCAAGAACACAAAGGAAATAATCGAAATGATGAAGAATATGGACCAAAAAATAACGTGAGAGTCCGGTGACCAAAAATTGCACTGTTAAGTGTGGCCTCTGACAATGAAATGTAGCTGGTGCACACTAGGGCGGGTGGGACAGAAAATGAGCCAGACACAGGGAGGGCTCTGCATTAGCAACAAACTTTGCTCAGGCTATACCGGGAACCCAGAGCCAATTTACAGAAGCTGTGGGATTTGCACCATGTAATGTGCAGATCTTGCACCTTGGGTATTTTATTTGCACTGTTGGTATTGACTTACAGAATCACAAACCACGCATCTGGCAAAGAACAGCCTTGAAGAGTTTTGGTCTCTAAATTTCTTTTCCCTATGGATTGATCAGAAATTGGAGGGAGGAAGTTTAGCTTGTGCATTTTTTAAGACTTTATTGCATACTTGCCCACTGATTGCAATGTGGTTTATTGTTTCTTTCTTTCCTTTATGGATGGATGGATGGACAATGAGAACAGAATTTTGTCTAACACTATTCAGTATCTACTGAACCTTCTGGATAGTTACAACAGGTAATGTGATTCTTTACATTAATAATCAGTGTAAGAGGGGGAAATCATTATGATGCTCACAACCACACCTCCATTTCTTCTGATGTAAATAGCTTCCCACTTGATTTGAGCATAAATTCTGGGTGGAAGCTTTTAGGGTAAGTGTTCAGCTCCCCTGGAGTTTTCCTGGATGCTCTTGCGCTTTCCCACCTCAGAGCTTTTATCCTTGAATACAGGCTATTCAATGGGGGAATGTCCACTGTTGTGCCAGTGTCCAAGTACAAATAAAGAGATCTCCCAAATCTGTTTCAGAGAACTTCCTGGAAGGGTAATCCAAATACTGTGTAAGGAGAAAGAGGAAAATGAGATGCTGAAAGAGAAGACAAAAAAGCTAGAGGAAAGGTAAGGTATTTATTCATACTTCAGACATAGTTATGTTTCTACACTGAAAAGCCACATACTTCTTGCTTCCTCCAGTCCTTGGGGACTCAGTTTCTGACCAGACAGCCCAGACACCTTCTCTCCATACTTACAACCTACCAGCATCTCTTTATAACTGACATCTGGAAGATGGTTTGGGTTGCTCTGCGAAGGGAACCAGTTAAATAAAGAGTAAAGGAAGCCAGTCTGCAATGATATTGTCAAGATGCCACTCTGATCAGATTCTACTATGATCATGCAAAACTGAGCTGAGAAAGCACTATTTTCCACAAAAAAAGCTGCTTGCCAGCTATATAATATAAATGAGAAGTGCATTGTAGAAAACATGGGATTCGTTAAACAGTTTCATAAGTAAAATATTTACATTTGCTCATTATTTCATCTTGACTTAGATACGTTTTTTAATATCCTCCTTGACCTAGAATGCAAGAGCTGTTGGCTAAAGCAATGGCCATGCACCAACACTCTGAGGACATCAGTGACCCTTCACGTTTGTCTGCAGTGCTGGAGAGATACGAGATGCTCCGGCTACAGGAATGGGAGAAAGTCAGGAGCTCCATGCCCTACCGTTGGACGTATGAAGAAGGCAGTCGCGCCATTAGGGTTTGTTCAAGTCCATTTGCTCCATTTGATTCTTGTCCATCAATTATGGTGTAGCCATATAGCAGCCTTTGAGTATTTGTATTTCAGAACCAGATAGGGTTGGGGCCTCAGTTTGGGTCTCTGATTTTCCAGCCTAACAGGGCTTGTGGAATGCTGTTGAGACCAAACTGACAGTGACCTTCTTCCTCCTGCCTTTCAGAAGGGCACACTCAAATACTAGTCCCATGTCTCACATGTGTTAAGCACAAGTGGGAAAACAATCCACTTTCCTTATGTTAGTGCTTGAACTGATAGCTGGGAGACCTCGTTTTGATGTCTGACTCACTGCTGTGATGCTGGAGAGATGTAAAGGAAAATAGCAAAGTGATATTCCCTTAAAGGACAAGACTGAACTGAGGCCATTATTAGCATTGACTGTGATGATAAGACCCCAGAGATGCTGAAGAATGGGCTCCAATAGCAAGCAGCTTGATGAAGCAGTTTGACAGCTATTGAAGACTGTATTTCAATCAATTAGCAGCCCTACGATTAACTCTAATGCAGATGTTTTCTCAGCTTTGCACACTACACCTGTGGTTTCACTGTGATTGATGCTGTAATCAGTTGTTATTTTTACACTGCAGAGGGTGTTTGATGCCTGTGAAAAAGATATACAGAAGAGAGCAGATGACATACTTAAAGTTCTTGACATTCCACCTTCAAACAAGGTAAAAATACCTTTGACCAAGGTATTTTATGTTTCTGTAAAAGGCCTGTAAAAGGGCCATTGGCACTTGTGATTTCATTTAGAAGTTTGTTTCTGCTATGGATGCTGCTCAAAATCTGTCAGCAATGACACTGGGGATAACTTCTGAACTGAGAGGTCTGGGGCCAAGCTCTAACAACCCTAGGTATGACAGCAGCACTGGATAAAACCCAGGTATTTCACTCTAAGAGTCAAGCTGTTCCACGGAGAAGCAGGGACCTGGACTTGAGGATTCTTGTGGGAGCCTTCCAAAATTAAATTACTCTGTGTCCCACTATACAAATTGGGATACATGATCCCAAAGCCCAACACTTGCATATCTGAATTGTCCAGCTGGATGAATCACATATATGAGTGCAGAAAGCATTTTCCAGCCCTGTGTTGCTTTTATGGGACCTTCCTCCAAAGCCTGAAATGAATGACTTCTCCATTACTGATTGACCCAATATGAGAAACAAAAATTCCCCGTATTTGCCTTACCACATGGTAACAGCCTGCTTTGTGATATGATTGTTCTGTAGGTGATGA